GTTGTCTCTTTTTTTTAATGCTTAGTTTTAGAATTTTCGAAATGTTGTTCTCATCACTAATCAATTCACCGTTAAAATGTTTACTAATGATATTATTTTCTGTCAGTGTTATCTATGTCTGCTATTTATGGAGTGCGAAAATCAATGAGATGATTAACCCTGTATTTATTGTTAATTATACATCTACTGATACCTCAGACAGAGAGGTATGGATACGTAATGTCATTGAGTTCCATTCACCTAATTGCTCCACAATGATCCTTACGAAATCTAGCCCGTTGATCTCGAAGTTGGACGTCTACAGAGTCCCTCACTGTGTTCAACAATACCCTGTTGATGACTTTGCCTGGTATTGAAAGAAAAGTGATGCCTCTGTAGTTCTCACACTTGCTGAGATCGCATTTCTTTGGTATTTTGATCAGGTATCCTTCTTTCCAATCTGATGGTACTTGTTCCTCAACCCAAATCTTCTGGAGAGGATGTGAAATATTTTCGCAGTCGCTTCTACATCTGCTTTCATTACCTCTGCTGGAACGTTGTCTGGTCCTGCTGCTTTGCCGCTCTTGATTTGTCTGATTGCCATAATGATCTCCTCAATCATAGGTTCGCTAATATTAATTGGGAGGTCCGTGGATGCTGGGTGTGTTCAGTGGAACTGGTCGATTCAAGAGTTCCTGAAAGTGCCTTACCCACCTGTTTCGCAGTTCTTCATTGTTGATGATTACTTTCCCTTCCTTGCCTTTCACTGGTCGTTCTGGTTTACGATAGTTTCCGGCTAGCTTCTTTGTTGTATCGTATAATTTTCTCAAGTTTCCGTCTATTGGAGCCTTTTCCGCCGTCATTGCTAGATCTTCCATATATTTTCATTTGTCGGCTCTGATGCTCTTCTTCACTTCCCTGTTTGCTTCTGCCTATGCAGCTTGTGCCTTAAATTTCTCTGCTCTTGTTCGGCTGACATTGGTTGCTGCATTCTTGTTTATCCTTTCTCCAACTTTTTCAAGAGTACCGACAGAGATCCATACCTTGTGATGGTGTTTCTTGTGACCTAGAACCTTGTGACATGTTGAAGTGATTGCCTCCTTGATCCATTTCCAATTGATCTTCATGGTTCTTTTCTCTCCACTGGGCATATCGTGCAAGGCCTGTAATCTATTACTGAGGGCTATCTTGCATACGTTCAGTTTCATGGCATCCCGAAGAAAGGCCGTATTAAACTCCCGTGATGTTGTCTGCCCCGTTTTCCAGCGTGTGTTCAGTTTCCGTTCCCTTTTGGCTACCACAAAGTAGTGATGTGAGGCTTTATCACCTCCTTTCTTGGTTCTCGCATTCCCCATGTTCCTTCTGAATTTTTATTGTTCCAGATATGGTCGATTTGGTTCTGAGTATTATGATTGGGAGAAATCCATCTAGTTTTGTGTGTGCGTTTGTGTGGGAATATTGTGCAGCCGATGAACAGTTTATTGAAGGCACATAGGTTTCCCAATCTCTCACCATTTTCTTTCGTTTCTCCCTCTCCATGTCGTCTCATGATGTCTTCATATCCAGTGTTGTCCGTGCCAACCTTGGCATTTAGATCTGCCAGCAGAACCGTCAAATCGATTAATGAGCATCCCTCAAAGATTGACTGCAAGCTCTCGCTGAATTGATCTTTGACGTCGTCACTGTAGTCGTTTGTAGGTGTGTAGCATTGGATGACGTTCATTTTAATGTCCTCTTTCTTTGTTATGAAGGATGCTTTAATGATCCTGAGTGCATGAGTTTCCCATCCTATTAGTAGTGCCTTTTGTGCTTGCTTGGACAGCATCAGTGCAACTCCTTGTGTGTGAGGTATTTTCTTCCTCATGACCAGAGTATAACAGCAGGTCTCCTGAAGCTAGACTCAGTAGTCCAACTTCCGTTCCATGTGGTTCACTGATTCCAAGCACCTCCAAGTTGTATCTTTTTATTACTGCAGCAATGTGGAATAGTGTTCAGGTCTCCCATAATGTTTGAACGTTCCATGTACCTAAAAGAATGGTTGGTGTGGTTGTGAGAAGGGGCATCGGCCTCGTGGCTTCCGAAAAAACTTGGCTTTCATCATGAGACGTCGTAACTGTTCTGTCAAAAGACCTTCTAACTACCAGGGCAGAGCTAAAGTGGTTTGAATTATGTTTTCTGGTTAGAGTTTTTTTAGCGAGTTAATTTTTTATGAGATATGATCGCCAATCCCATGCCCAACCCTCCTCGTTTATCTGGGCCTGGGACCGGCAGTAGCTTCAGAGGGGCTACAGTGGGAATTAAAATATTTACTAATGACATTATTTTCTGTCAGTGCTATCTGCGTATACTATTTACGGAGTACAAATGTAAATGAGAGTAATAATCTAGTATTTATTATGTATTAAACATCTATTGATACTTCAGACTGACGTTTGTATTCGTAACTCTTGATAATCCATAGTGCAGTCTTTGTGTGATAGTTGAAATCTCAGAATTCTTTAAGATATGCTCTAACTTTCAATGAAAAAATATGTATATATATAGCAGGATAATGATGTTTATGATGTTTGCTGATCACTTTATGAAAAATTAGGAACTGTTAACAATGAATACATGCAACTCAATTTGGAATAATTGTGCTCTAATATATTAGAACTATTGTTGATATTTCGTTTCACTATTTCATTCAGTAACTACTTACAAAATGTATGATTGATGATAGACAATTTATTGTATTAAATATTGAGTAAATATTGCATTATACTGATAATTAACATGTGACCACTAAATTCGAGACTAGATTCTCGAATTTCCAGTAAGAACACATGACCGCATAGCATATGAAGAAGTTATTCAACAAAAGAGGAACGCATTTCAGTAGTATCGTGGATTGGTTGTAGCCAGACTTGTGCACTGCTGGGTTTGACCCCAATGATCTAAAGGTTCAACATCCACCGGTAGGACCGTAGGTCCTGGACTCAACTCCTGAATGCTGAGTTTTGGATGGACACTCCTGAGGAGTCTCGTATCAAGACTGAACAACAACTCATTGTTCCTTGGGTTCCAATGACTGTCTTCATCGCACTTTGTTCTTATGTGCAGTAGGCAGTTTATGAATCGATGATAACAACCATTGATAGTGTAATGACAGATATACGTTTTTCTACGTTTAGTTTTATTATCTATTTCGTCGTTATAACTGGCCCATAAATTACCTTGATCAGCATAGTATTTTTATAAATGTCTGTAAATATTAATGCCCATTAAAGTAAAGCCTATTGAAGATGTAACTGAACGTTACTCGAACTTACAATACGGGAAGTTTCAATAATTTTCAGGTCTACATGTGAAATTTCCTATCCAAATTTAATGAAAAACAGGCATTAAGTTTTGTAGTTTACAAACGTCTAATCATGAGTAGTATTCTTATTTACGGAAAAAAACTTCAGTTAATTTTTCAAAGCCATTTTGATGTTTCACGAAAATAATAATCCACAGAAATGGTCCCTTTGTCAGTAGTGTAATTTTAAACTCAAAAATGAAAAGTAAAATATCACAAGAAATCGACACAACTGTAGGAATAAAATGCACTGTTATTATAAGATGTTTCTTATCGATTAATAACCAGATTTTATGGAACAATTATTGAACAAAACTCACCACTGATTAATTAACCTACCGAATACTCAACCCCTTGAAGTCAACATCAATGTCATTAGAAAATATTGGATAATAATTTGTGCCTGACTACTTACCGAATAACTTGCACTGCTTAGCCAGGAATTAATCCAAAGAATCCTAAATCATTGTTAGCTATTTTATAACTCTTGTAGTCCTGCCATAACTAACCAATCAGATTGTGGTTTAAGCGCCTACCACGTGATCTGACCTGACGTGTCTGTAAACTTTCTTTGTTGTAAATGGCTTACAAATTGATTGACATTATTATCTCATTATGTCGATGTGACTCATAACTTTACTCATTTCCATAAGACACGCCATATTGGTCGGTACGTTTGCTCGTCTTACTTGATAATTGTAATTTCCGTATTTATTGTACTAATGTAATTGTTTTATATGTTTAGAAACAGATAAAGTTTAAAACCAAGTTGATCTTATTCTTACTATAGCTTTAACATAGACTCTGTGCTCGCCAGTATTGAGTTATATAATTACATCTGTAGGACAAATTAAATCCTACAATCATGTTAAGTAAATTCTCAGATTCTTCAATTGTAATACTGATAGAATTAATACGCTTGCAGCAAGTGACCTAGGTCTTTTAATATTTAGTCTTTTACAAAAGTTGTTCTTGAGCTTAGTTTGTTATATTTCCTTAAAAAATTATCAACTTAATCATATAAACACCGTGACACAAACAAGCCTACTGATTTTTCTGAACAAGCAGTAGATATGATTAGAAATGTTTCAGAGAATTTGACTAAATGACTAAAACTATCACATCATTCAAATTTTGTCGGCTTATTAACATACTGTAAGTTGCTAATTCATTATCAAACTGTTGCATAGTCTGAAATGAAAATAGTTATAATCGTGTCGAGTGATCTGTGTGTAAATTTAAGAATCAACCAATAACTGCAAATCGCATGCGAAATTAGGGCGTTTAAAGTGGTCTTAACCAAACGAACCACAGCAAAAAAAAACATTATTATGTGAATTACTTTGCTACCATTACTACATTCTTTGAACAATTTAAAAAGAATTGTAATGAATACTGGGAAACGCTTATTATTATTATTATTATTATTATTATTATTATTATTTCATTGGGGGCTTTCAATTCGAATACATCCACTAGTTCAAAGATAAATATCAGCAACTTATTTATCATTGCTAGATTCAATTAAAAGACATTTTTACAGTCATTTACCTAGGTATCATCTTAAACTTGTTTGTTTATAGTCCGAATCATGATTACTTGTAAAATGATAAATAGATGGTTTTCCAGTTTTGTTTCATTACGTAACGTAAAAGACAACTTCTATTTATAAATCTGAGAGCCTGTTGATTAGTTGTTTATTCAAGAGAATAAATTACATCGATACTTTTCAAAAGTCAATAAAATCAATAGTTTCGACACAAGAGAACGTAGGAACAAGCAATTCCACTTAGCCTCTGTGATAATTAATAATGGATTACCGTTTTGATATCCTGTCAATTAAAACTATATAAATTAATTATCTTAAAAGAAATATATCAAAACAAATTTTATAAAATGTTGGTTAAAGTTAACTTAAAAAGTAATCAATCTATTTTAAGAGCCAAACAGTATATATTTTAATTTATATTCTCCCACCAACCATCTATGGATGGTCAAACTTCAAAAATTTCAGTTTCTAATGAAGACAAAAATAACATTACTCTCTCTCTCTCTCTCTCTCTCTCTAATAACAATTGTCGTATGCTGAAATGCATAAAATCACAAGAACCAATCATACTGTAAAACAAGTGACCTCATACAAAAGTTTCTAAAAGCATTAAAAAAATGTATAGTAATTTGAAATAAGCTGGAATTATTATAGTCACAAGAAATTTACCCTAACTTGTAAAGATATAAAATGAGAAATGTGCAACAATAATTCTCAAAAAAAAGAATAGATTACACTGAAATATCACAAAACTTGAACAATATTATGTACATGATTTCGAATGATGGATGTCATAGAAAGTTACTCATAAAAATTGAATGTCAATTGCAAAATAATCATCTCGATATTAGACAAGTAAGTAATCCTTTTTCTTTTTCAAGAAACTTTGGTTAAAGGAAAAAAGATTTTTTTTTTGATATAAAAGTTTCTACCTTCATAGTACATTTTCATGCATTATTTTACATATGTTTGAAACAAACAACCAAACTAATAGAAATGTTTCACCATTTATTTTCGACCTGAAAATGTAACGGAAATATCTAAAGATTAGTGTTGTTACATGTGATTTTGCATTGATAATGCATTGATAATATGAAATTAATCAAAGTTATTCACCATTAGATAAGTTAAAAAGCACAGAAGTAATTGCTTCAGGTCGATAGTGGTATTTTTATTGAATATATGATTTGGCGAAAAAAAATGTACTTGTTGTATGATGGTTATTGAAAACCTCTACTGTCAGTGAGTGTATCAAGGCTATTGATAAACTTCAATATCAAATTTTCATTATAGTGTAGTGCCTTCAGATACATTTGAGTTCGCTCATATTCAATTTGATTAAGCCTTTCGATTGACTCATTTAACCAAGCCATTTGTATAGAAACAACCTATATATATCATTGGCTTTTATAAGCTGGTACGACTGAACATGGCATATCAACTACGAGCATATTCATCCTATTCGCTTTAATGTTGTTCTCTTAAATATTTCGATGACTCAGACATTGTACTATGTATGTATATGAACATACATACTCACCTACTCACTCCTTGTCAATGGTTCAGACACCGATGCAAGCCAATCCTGAAGCATTTAGGGAGGAAGAATCGCATCTTGAACATGCTTGCATAGTTCGTTAAGGAAGTCAGAAGACTGCATTTTGTCAGTGTCCTTACCGAACAAAACTATATCATCTGCATATTATAAGTCAGTTAAATGATCTCCCGGTAAGAGTTCGCTACCCAAAAGTCGAACGATAAACATGTCGTCTCAAAAAGCATGTCAGTGAAAAACTTAAATAAGAATGGAGCAATCGGACAGACTTGATGAACACCACATGAACTAATCTATTCATATGGCAGTTCACTATAAACTTTCACTCGACTAGTAGTGTTGGCGTAGAGAGCTTGCATAAGGTTAATGTAATTCTTTGGCATTCCTTTTAATTACAGACATTGCCACAGTACCTCACGATCAACGGAGTCAAATGCCGCCAATACTGTGCGACGCCTGAACGTGTCTTTGTTCTAGGACCTGATAGAGTTTGAATATCTGGTCTATACAGCCACGACCAGGTCCGAAACCAGCCTGGTTTTCTCGATCCTGCTCTTCACGTGCTTAGGTAGGCGTCTAAGTATCATCGAAGATAATATATTAGACAATTCAACTTCAACTAATTCCTCTGTGATTGTCACAAGAGGACCTGGACAATCAGTGTTTGAGACCAGTCCAGTTCCCAGATTTTACGTAGGATCTCAGTCGCTCTAACTGCTAAAACTGGACCAACATCACTAAAAATCTCGGAGCTAAGCCTTTTAGGCCCTGCTGCTCTGCCCCGCCTTACATTGCATATTGTCTTTTCGACCTCATTACAAGGACTTACATCAATTTGCCGTTCAGGCTGACTGGAGATCATGAGCAACCGAAGTGAGGCTCAACCGATTCCTAGTGTGTTCTGTTCATCGATCCAAACTCCTGGGTTGAGAATGAATGGAGATAGTTTCGCTAACAAATGGATTTCTAGAACCAGTTTACTTGTTAGGAAGGAACAGTTTTCTACTGTTGCTTATCACTGCTGCCATTTCCATCTCTCTTGCTTTTGCTACTCACCACTGTTCGCGATCATTGCGTAGGCTTTTTATCAGCCTGCGCCTAAACTGACTACGCTGAATCAATCATATTACTTAAAGTCCGTATGAACACTAATGCAATATATGAAGAAAGTAAACATGAATTTGCTATTTTATTTTAAAAACTGTACATACAATTACATGAACACTTGTTAAGTCTTAGGGACACTCAGGGATTATCTGTCTGTAAAGCGTTTCTATAACTTTAAAAATACTGTAAATTAGCTGCTTCATATTCATATTTTTCTGTTGAAATACAGAATGACAATTCTCATTGTTTAACTATATTTTTGATAGGGTTATTTTCTACGGGATGTGGTCGCTAATCTCATGTCCAACCCACCCCACTTGTCCAGGCTTGGGAGCGACAGTAGCCCCAGAAATGATCCAGACAGAGTTCTCCCTACTTATAGCAAAAGCACAGGACTATTGAAAATCACGTGTTTAACCCATGAACTCAATAACTCAATCGCCGTTTTAGATTATCTTACAATTTATTCATTCCTTTGTCAATAAAATCCAGTTTGTCCAAATGCCTTTAGTTATTTTACTTTTTACACAACAATTTACTTTCCTCTCTAACGTTTTTGATTTTAATATTCATATGTATACAAAGAAAGATGGTATCATTTTAACAGAGCTTCAAATATGATACATCGAAATCTTTATTTTACACATCTGAAAAATGCCATGTTAATGAAGGCTTGAATGCAACTTACTTGTACATTAAATTACTGTTTGTTAGGAGGTATATCAATCGAAATCCAATATAATAAACCATCATACATTGATTTTGATTGATTTACATTATACTTCAAGCTGTTCAGTCCATCACTTTTAAATCGACTCCCTGAAGTTTTCAATAACTGAAAACTAAATTCGTTTGAATGTCGGAAAATTTGTTAAAAACAAAAAAAACAGCGACATCAATAATAGAGAGTCCCATTGTGAAAATATCGGTGAACAATATTGTTTTGAATTAGATCATCTATCGAACTATATACTCTGACATAGATGAATGTTAATATGAAGATATTAAATCAGCAGAGGTAATTTATAAGTCAATTATTATTATGCAATAGATTAAACAATTAAATAGAATAGGTGAAAGTACAAGTTATATGAATTCAAACGTTTAACCTCAGTTAATATGTTTAGAAGAAATTCGTGACACACATTTCACTTCCTTAGCTGTACATAACTTAGTAGACGATTTTATTTTATTCCTATTTTCATATCTTCCATTTGTTTCGCCTTTATCTGCTGATATTCTTCACTATCTAATAATTTACATACTTCTTTCTATGTAATTCTAACAATAATTTGTGATTATTATTTGAAGTCTGTTTGTCAATACTTGATTGACCTAATACTTCCCATGTTAAACTATTGACTAGAAATTTAAATTTAAAATAACTATCCAAGCAGCTTCATATAGAATAAAACATGAAAGAAAGTCGGAACAAGGAATCCGGAAATCCCGTTTCAAAGAAACTTCTTCATAGGAATCTAGGATTTCAAGGTTATGGATGCTCTGATGTATTTAAAAATCGATTAGTGACAGCGACTACTAACATTCTCTAGAAGAAACTTGTTTTCTCTATGTGTTAAAAGATAAGCTTCCTTGTCTGGTCGCCTCCATATGCATCTCTCAGTTTGTGAATTACTAATTTCACAAGCATTTTTATTCGAACATACACAATCTTTTATTGTCAATATTTACATAATGCATTTTAGTATTGTAATCTTTCTATTACATCATCAGGTTTATTCACTGCTCATACGTCATCATGAAATTAACTAATACCGATAAAATTTCATAAATATATAGACGATTGTAAAGCTTGATACTAAATTGATTGAAAAGAGATCCCTCTGTTGAATTTCGTATTTTCAATGTTTAAATGAGTATTATATTGTCTATTTTGATATTTTACTACTACTAATAGTCCACCTTTCTTCTTACTATCAGTTTGTATTCTTATATATTATATGCAGTTGTGTAATCTATCACATCGTAGTCATTGACTTATGAATTGACTCGATTCATTTAATATTTTCATATCAATATTCATGTATATCGGAGTAAAAACAGATGGACAATCTAATTGAAAACAAAATATGAAGCAATCATAATCCTTAAATGTTCTAGGCATTACGGCAAGCACTAATAAATAGCTTCTTAAAAGTATCCATTTATATTTATAATATATAATAGTGTTTCTGGCTTTTATCAGAGAAACCCTATTAGTGAACTGCACGAAGAAATTCCTATGTATTAACTTAACAAATCAAAACAGCTTTTTGACCCACACATAAACTAATAGTTGTGTAATTTACGACCAATAAGATTCGCATAGTTAACCAAAAAACATATCAATAGAGTAAAAAGAAACAATAATCTTAGAATTATACCATTCAATTTACCATTTGATAAAATATTGGATATCACTACGCTTTTAAAACTAGGCAATTCATAATTCTAGTTACGAATGACACTGCTGATATTTCAAATATTTTACTGTATATTATAGAAACGCTAAATTAAGTTCAATTTAAACAGGAAATGTTGAATGTGATGCATTCTTTAGGTAATTTTTTTTTTAATGTAATCATAACAAAAATGCATGTAGTTATAAAAGAAAGACTAGGAAGTTAACTTGTAAATCAATAATCCGTGATAAGACGATGCGAACAACGCAAACTATATTAATCAACAAATGAGAATTGACATTCAATAATAAATCGCTAATGTGTTGTTTTGATTGATGATAAATCATATCATCCGTGTATGCTCTTCAAGAATTGATTTATTGTTACTTGAAAAAATGCATTCACTAAACATGAAATTCTATAACAGACTAAGGAAAATAATCCTATGAACTATGTATAAAAAAAAAAAACCTTAAGCTAAATTAGATTATCAAACCTAATGGTGTATAATTAAACATCCTCGATACCCATAAAACTGTTGGTTCGAATTTAATGTATTCAATGTATTCGTGAATGTTCAACTTTTACAGAATTATTACTGCATTAGAGAAATATTATTCATATAGGTTTTTAGGTAAAATTTATTTTCAAATGACATTGTTCTCAATCTGGCTATTTCAACTATGCCAATGAGAGAGCATGGTATCTCATCTGAAAGAAAACGATTTGATGTCATATATATATATATATATATATATATATATATATATTTGCAAGATAAAAATTTACAAAATTGATCAACAACGAACCGATCTGGATTCCTTTCATTCAATTTATCTTCCGAATGACCCAATGCATAATAACGACCAATTTGTACATCAATTCTGGCTAAATTATATCCAGACTGTTCAACGCGAACTAAAAGATCATCATCTTCACCACCCCAACCTTCGAACACATTTGAAAAGCCATTAATCTTGAAATACTGATCTCGAGTAAATGTAACAACACCTCCGTAAAACCTTTGATAAAGTAATCTGTCAATAACGATAATAATAATAAGAAGAACAAATAAAATTCTGCATATCCTAAATTTTCTTGTAAAATAATGCATCTATATTTTATGGGTGAAACTATATTTACTTTAAATGCAAAATAAAACATGGGTGGTTGATTAGCACAATTTAAACATTTTGAGTAAACCAGAAAAAACGTATTAAAAAAAATTCACGAATTTGTAATGAAGAATCGAAATTAGCATTAGGTTTCTAAACATTATAAGCAGAAATGGATTGTGATTAGCAGTAGAATCAAGGACACACATTTTTCCATTTTTCCTGTATGCACCTGTCTCTTAGAGTTAGTCAGCATTCCGAAGCTCGAACAAAGTAATGTTCGCTTCAAACGCCATCACGTTATCCACTCAGCAACTGAGACCTAACAATCAATGGCTTGTGCAATAGGGTGAAATTTATTTCATTTGTAATGGTAGTTGGAATCTTTCCATCGATACTTTAGGACTGATGAATTAAAGATTCGAACTACCAATACAAAGGAATTAGAACTCTTAACACTTAAAAATGTTGCTGTAACTTATTGTCTTTTTCAAAATCATACGCTTTAGATCGCTAGTGAATAAAGTTCGCTTTCTAAATTCGGTCAAGTGAGTATTTAGTGGTATCTTACCAATTAAGTCACTATTTCAGACTTGTTTTAGAAGCGTATACCGATATAGAAGTGTTTTCGACCATAAAGGTAGTCACTAAACAAAAATTTAAGTTAGTTATTGTGTTTCTAATATGTCGATTTTTTTTGTTGAACGATATAAGGAAACAGATCTGATTTTCAATTTTGCCGATCGACTACTTTTTCGATCGATGTAAGGAATGGTAGACTGTTGTTAAATAGTCACATTAACTAATTTCATGATAAAAAAAGCGTTACTGTCCTAACTGACTCGCTTAGTGGATAATATGTTGGTATTTGAAGAGCTAAATATTTGGTTCATATCTGAATGTGGGTATCAACATTATGATCAAGATGTACCCAAATGACAAGTCTCTAGTAGTACAAAAGACATATCGTGCGTTATACTGTTATCCACAATCCAGCTTATTAAAACTGGTGACTAAATGTCAAAATGGAGGTGATCAATCTCAATCCACTCAGAATACCCAGAGGCTAACAGAAATTGGTCAACTGCAACTAACAATAGGAAAGTAGAAAACTTTACGACCAAATGAATAAGATCCGTTTCAAAACAAGTGGTTGTAAAATAAGGATTTAGTACCGTACGATAAGATCTAATCATAGAAATGAATTCTTGACACGTATATCAGGCTCAATATTCAAATAATTATCTAAATCAATGAAATAATATTATGTCCATATATCATCTACAACAATATTTTCTTTAACAAGAAACAGGAAATTAAATCAGTGATTGATTAGTTGATCATAGTATATTTGATAATAAATGATTTTCCCTTTCTAATTGTACACATTGTTGATTTATTTGGAATTTGAAATGGATTAGGCTTAGTTTAAAACAAAAAGCTAAACATATAATATCTTCTATATTATCCTTGAATATTATTAAATAAATCATGTAAACTACAGAATTATAGAATTATAATTGATCGAGTCAACAATCAGAGAATAAGAAATTCATTCCATGATTGTATCAGCATTAAGAACTAATTGGAAAATAAATTATCTCCATCTAATTTCATAGCACATATTGTGTACAATAAATTAACAGTTTCATGCAAACATATCACAATTTACCTGGTAAATTATTACATAAACATTGAGAAAAAAAATGATTAATTTTTCAAATGAAGCCAGAACAACAGCTGTGCTAGAATAATATGTCATGGTTTCTCCTCGCCTGTTTACAACCGCATTTGTAATAAAGTGTAGCAGTGATGTATGGTATAACATGAAGGAATGTACATTAATGACTGATGAGATTAAATTAGCAAAAATTACTACTATATATATATATATATATATATATATATATATATATATATATATATATATATGTGCATGAACTGGATCGAGACCATATAGAATTCGAATAAAGACATAAGAAGGTATGGGACAATCATTAAATTGTCTGAAAACAGTTAAGATGGATCATGTGATAATTATAGAAATTCTGAAAAGTTTACACAAGTTTTAGGTCAGTTGTCTAGACTTAGTAATTGAATAGTTACGTACTAAGCGAGAAAGATATGAAGAGGTATACACAGGTTTCAAGAAGCGAAAGAATGAAAAAGTGACTGCCGTATATAAAATAAGATTTAGTTTATTCAAGATTGTATAACATAAGCTGATGAGAAATCATGAACTATCGTGAATTCATGTTATTCCGCCTCAACTGTTGTTCCCACTTTATCCAACTTATAAAGGGAAAAAAACAGCATAAAATTAATGTTTTTACGTTGAGGAAAGTGAATATTTAAGAATATTAAAGATTCCCATTGTGAAAATTAGAACAACACTTATAAGCGAACAATATTGTTTTCAATTAGATAGTCATCAGGCCCTACTCTAATATACATGAATATTTATATGAAAATGTTAAACCAATCAAGACAGTTTGACTCAATCACCACAATGAAATGATTATTGACTCAAACTGCCTGGACAGGTTTCATGTTTTCATGTAAATATTCATGTTTATTAGAATAAAACCTGATGACGATCTAACTGACAACAATATTGTTCGCTTATATGTGTTGTTCCAAATGAATGTTTCACAGACCATACCATTTAAAGTCATTTGATAGTAAAAATTACATTTGATTCGACACAATTTTGCTATGAATTAAATCTTTGGTTTCATCGTAAGACGGAAACATGAGTCAGACTATGTTGTTATTGGATTTAAAATAAAGGCATGTCAGCGAGTAAATTTTTCTTGTCGACGATTTCGGTTACTTAAGTAATACCGTAGTATTAACGGTTAATTTTACTAGTTAAAATGGTATACAGCAGTAATAATAACAATAATAATAATAATAACTTTATTCACCATATGTTGAATTAAATATAGAATTCTCAGCACAGAATATATCAGCAAGTTTCCTTTACAAAACAATTAGTGATCAGCGTCTTATCAATGTTAATTATTTTCTCAGCAGAATGATTGCAAGCCATCGATATGTCTCGAACTGTCTGCTGGACATCTCGATGGCTCGCAAACTTAACATGCTCCTCTGGACAGATAAGGCGATTAATAGATATAATTGACGTATTAAATTAAGTAAAAGGAAGTAACTTATTGGGATATCTTGATGTAAGGAAACAGAAATTTATTCAGGCTGCTATGCATTGCTTATGAAAACCAAATATTGAAAGGAAGTTATGTAATAATCGGCTAGTGACAGGTACTGAGGTAAAGATAATTGTCAACTTGATATCTGTTAAGAACAGAATAAAAGGAAGTTGTAGTAATGGCCAATTAATTGGGATGGATTAGGACTAATCGTTTATAAATCGAACAAACAGAAAAAGTGACAAAACACACAGAACAGCCGAAACAAAACCCATAGGTTGTAGAAGGATTGAAAGGTAGTTTAAGCAGAGGATAGGTTTGGACTGGTGGATACCTCTGCTGTACATAGGTTCTTTATCTGTATTCCTTTTGCCTAAACTCTTCTGACTGTAGCCAAGATTTCGAAGAAGGTTTCTGGTAAAGCGTAGTGGTTAGAAATAACTATATGTTCCACAATTGAGTTTTTGACTGACTTCTGTAACTCTTTAGGAAGCCAGGCTGGGAAATTTTCGGAGATGGGTTTCAAAAGGATTCAGTTGAATTTGGGTTAGAATGAAACAGTTGTCACGGAAAATAACTGTACATGGGAACAGTTAATGGTAGGTGATATGAAGTGCCAGGGAAATTCTGTAAGTTGCGTAGATGCGTGCAACGTTTTTATTGAATAGTCATTTAGTTTTAACTAGTGTTACCCAAGCCTAGTCCCAAATGCTAATTGGATTTTATCTACTACTTTACAAACTACCCACTCTTCCAAGTAACTCAACATTACATTCATCACGTTTATCATTCAGCGATGACTGAAGGTAATCAGAACTTGGAATTGGTGCTTTTAGTCTTATTGTCCTGTCTAGTGGAACGACAGGTAAAAAATGTTCCAAACAATGTAGACTGATTGACTTGTCACAGTCGGCAAACTTGACCATCATTACCAACATAGTTTCTACTGCTTGAAGAACGAAACATGGAACCAGGAATTTCTTCTGATTGTTTGCAATCATCAAAACTGCATGTACCATTGCTACAAACGATTTTAGTTTCCCATAATCTGAATACGATTTGAACGAACGATTGAAAATTCTGTGAAATAAATCCTCCCTTCCATTTCCGTATATCATCACCCCAATTATGCAATGGCAGTGGTTAAAAGCCCAATACGGTTTGTTTTAGGTGAATGTATTTCATACATTCGCGTAAGCAGACAGACAATAGAATGAGAAGCGTAGACAGGTAGCTGAGGAAAGTGAAGAGGAAAAGACTAATGGGTCGACCCATTGCGATGAGGAATGACTAACTATTTAAAAAAAATAGGCTAGACATGTGACAAACGAAGTAAGCAATGTCAAGTGGATAATTGACAAGGTCAATAGATGTGAGGATAGTAACTTATGCAGAAAATATTAATTAGTTTGTCCGCAAGCTAGGACAAGCCATGTGGTCTCAACATATTAATGCACACACTACACAGTATTCGAATCAGTATTTATTGATTTCACACTTGTTCTTACAACATAATATCAAAAATAAATGATTCAAAATATAACTAACTTGTAATCAAAAGTACTTAATGAAGGTGACAAATGCACTGGATTAGCTCCGCATGTATATTGAATTCGATCATCTTCTGGGAGTTTGTCTACATCGTGTAAAATGAAACAGTCATATTCTTTGAATTTGACAACCTCAAGAAAACCGGCATTCAATAAAGCACCACGATTAAATTTCTTTTCACCAGTCTAAAACGTTAAATAAAACATTAATATTTAATTTAAAGTACATTTGTATAAATATATGCTCAGTTGATTTAACCCAATTTAGTCACTCATAATATAATAAACAAAGAGTCCCAGTATTACTTAAGAACGGCACACTAGCCTTCTTGGTAAATGAATCATTTGTAACAGACATATTCCAAAGTGATCCATAAGTTCAGAAATCAATTACGTTGAACTGTTGATCTCTTCAATTGTAGGTGCGCAAACATCGATTGGGAGGTCCATAGATGCTGCTTTGATTTCGAGTGGGTTCAGTTGAGCTGGTCGCAGTTCTTGAGTGTTACTGATTACTTTGCCTTCCTTGCTTTTCAATAGACGTTCTGGTTTACCATTGTTTCCAGAGACCTCCTTTGTTGTATCGTACCTTTTCCGCCGTCATTGCTAGATATTCCATATATTTTCATTTGTCGGCTCTGATGCTCTTCTTCACTTCTCTGTTTGCTTCTGTGTATGCAGCTTGTGCCTTAACTTTCTCTGCTTTTGTTTGGCTGACATTGATTGCTGCATTCTTGTTCCTCCTTTCTTCAATTTTGCAAGAGTACCAACAGACATCCGATCCTTGTGATAGTACATCTTGTGTCCCAGAACCTTGTGACATGTTGAAGTGATTGCCTCCTTGATCCAACCGCATGCCCAACCCTCTTCGTTTATCAGGGCTTGTGACCGGCAGTGGCCCCGAATGTTCTACAAGCGGAGTTTTTCTAATTCTCAGTAAAGACAAAATATTTAAAACCAACTAACGACTGGATACTTTTCTCTATGATCGAAACAAAACTTACGTTTAAAATTCTTCGAAGCATTTCTCGTATATCCTGGAACAATCGCTCAAGCAATGCTGTTGTTAAGAAACCGGTACTAGGTAAGGATGGAAGATCAACTGATGAAGTATTCAAACTTCATCAGTCGAATTGGTTAGATGTGTTACGTATGCCCAACCACAGACTGCTTCGACAATGGATGGCGTCTAATGTAGGAGTAGGTTGAAAGAAAGCTAGGGGCGGCCAGACCAAACCATGGCAGAAATTCATGAAGCCATCGACGACTGCATTGACTTAGTAGGTGTATACTACCTGGTTGGGTTCGGCGAGACAATAGTGACCGATGGTTAGAGGCTTTGAATGAAATGGCTTGCAGTTGTTTGCAATGTCGCAGGCGCACCCATTTTTCAGCTTTTTTCAAATGCTAATAATCTGAATTCCGCATTGACTTTATCTTTCTCTTTTTAATTTAATTTCACTAAATTGTACTTCTTGAATAATATCTTAGAACCTTAATCTTTTTGATTATGTGAAGGTAAACTTATGTTCGTACGTACGAGGTTCTTCGTTGCAGCTAACTGACTGACTGACTTCATATTCTAACAATTAAATTAGCTCATTATGTAGCATGATAATGAATAATCTAGTTGTAGACAATTAACTAGAACCTAAGAAAAATATAAAACTGTAAATATTTGTAGAACAAAGCAAGAACGACAACATCTGAAGAATACAATGAATCACAATGCTCTATAAATATTGTTTTTCCTAATTTGTGCAAATTTGTGAAAGGAATCAATTGTTTTTGTAATCTATTGTTGAATTGGTTTTTTTGTATAATGCATTTAGATTTGTAGGAGTATAAATAAATTTTCATGGCCTGATCCACATAAGCTTGAATTATAAACTCATTCGTTGATCGCGTTTCAGATTGAATTCACTTTATTTGAAATCTTATCAACAGTGTCTATTTAAGCTTCAAAATTCTATGTAATTCTGAGATAGATTCATGAACATTTATAGTTCATTGAACAAAGCTCAAAAAAAAGTGTCTGAATATGTATACTTACCTGTTCAATAACAAAAATGGTATACGGTATTCGTTGATGTCGTAAAAATCCATGTAAATGGTCTGTTATCATTCGTAAATGTTGTTCTCGTTTACGATAAGGAATAATTATAGCTGATGATAGACTAGGTGGACAACCCAATGGAGACCATATAAATGGTAAATCATTATTGATAGTATCATTTTTTTTATCATTTGATCGGCTAGCATTATATTTTTTATACAACGATGCAAATATTTGTTCTGAACTGAAATCTGTTTTTGATGTATCAGGTGAAATGAAATCTACTGGTTGAGAAAATGCATATTTATATTGAATTTGTGACCACAATAATTCTTTCTTAGGCATTTTCACTTGACCAACTAAAATATCAAAAATAGAAAAACTTTTATTTTTAGTTTCTTTTTTTTTAATTTTGTTAGAAATTTAAACTTGGTTTCTAGATATTTCTATTCTGAAAAAATTCATTCGACATGAATTTAACATCACATCAATGAATAATGTTATATTTCTGGGAACGAAGTAAGTCAATAGTGGAAGAATCTGGAATATGTAGAGAATATACATGGATGAGATAAATATACTTAGATGTGATTTGTAGTAGACTGAGATGCAGAATTCACTTGTGCTCACGGTTGAGCATTGCTAAAGAGTCTGATACTAATGCGAAACATATGGTTTTTGTTTCTTGTTCCTTAATGACATATCAACTAAAGTTATTGAATGGTCAATGCTACCTACCACCAAATTCAATACATCTCCATATAACCTCATTTAGTGAATTTGAACTTAGTTAAATTATTAGAAATGATTTTTGACGAGAACTTGGAAATTTCACAATCTAAATATGTAAGTCATCTAGACATTAGTATTATTCAAAGTTGGCTTCCGTGAAATTGAAAAACCACATAAATACCGAAATCAATGAACAGCTTATCTGACCTAATAAAGAACTCTTCATCTGGAGTCGAGGATGCGTACTGCTGATGAGTCCCATACCAGGACGAAACGGCCGTCCAGTGCTTACAGGTTTCAAATGGTGGTCTAACAATGATTGACTGATGATATATGTAATCGTTGAACAGAATGATAAGTAACATGGATTTGAAATAAACATGAAAACATTTACAAAAAAAGATTTTTATTATTATAATTTGAAACTAATAATTAAAAATAACTTGCCTTGCATATATTTCAATCGACGACATCGAGGCTAAAATTCAACAATATAAAAATAGTTTGACAATGATGGTTTATTCAAATAGGTTTTTTTCTTAAATAAAAATGTTTCTACACCATACATTGATATTAAGAGTATGATTATGATTTTAGAATTGTGAAATTGTTTGTTGTTGGTATTTTTTTACTGATTACTTTTCGTAAAAAGTAGAGAAAATTTACTAGATTTTACACATGAGACGTTGAACATGATGTGTAAGATTTATACTTGCCATATTTTGTGTTTAAATTACATTTCAGTTAGCAGGTTATTTCATTTTTAAAATTGTTCTTCAAATGGATAGATAAATGGACAACATAAATAGTTCTTTAGTTATTATTATTATTATTATCATTATTATCTGATCTACTTATTCGTATCAACCTATGCAGATAAGTTTCGAAGGTCTAGTGAGAAATAGTGACAGGTCGAGTTGAGAATTGGTTAAGAGCAAAAAACAGTGGTCACAATTGAAAATGAATAATTATTGCGTTCTATCACGAATTAATTGGAATTAGCACTATACATACCAATTTTAAATAGTAGAAGTTTTATCAAAAGCTCAGAGAAAACAATAAGGTTGAACATGTACTCAGAGATCACTTCACGTAATAAAAGGAATCTTGCAAACTAAATGCAAACCAGATCAAAATCGTTTTAACCATTTTAATTCTAATCTCAAAGCTGAATGGTCTTCATTTAGGGCGATCAAAATACCTCATGAAAAAATAGAGTAGATTCTTCAGAACTCATAAGGTTGAGACCTCATCTAACTACCAAGACAACAGTTAACGTAGTGATGTGTAACATCCAGATAATGTGACAAACCGAGTAGACTATCAGAATAGCCCCAAAAATGTGAACATGCAACTCGAGTGTGATTAGAATAAGTGAAACTCGGTGGACATAAACTGTACAGAAAAGATTGGTTTCAGACAAGGTGCTTTTATATTTATGTCATGAGGAAGTAAACGCCGAAATCGTAGTGATATTATACAAAGAAGCACAAAAATCACTTGTAGGGTGTGAATCTTAAGGCTCTAGGATCATCTAAAAGTGATTAAAGATGGAGAAGAGACTAAAAATGAATTCCGACCATTGAAGATAACAGTTGGGAAGATAAAGATCACTTCTTATGACTCTGGATTCCACTGCAGAAAACGGCTGATGATGGGGGAGCTGAACAGCGAAACCATCAGCAACGACTTACTGTGACATCAGACAAACCAGCCTCCAAATAAAGAGGTCATTATGAAAGATATTGTAGGTGGATAAGAAACACTGTGGAAACTATCAACCTGAACCACTAATCAAGTAATAACTTACAGTCCTCAAGGAAAAAAGAAAAGAGATTGACCAAATGTATAAGGAGCTGGTAATTGGAAAGAGTCATCAATAGCTTAAATAGCACTTGACGATAGCTGGAAAGGAGAACCAAGGACAGAGTTCTCTTTAGATTCTCTGTACGTAGCCTTAGATCCATGAAAGATAGGCTCAAGTACTTGTCTGAAAATCCGATTCTTGGAGGAGGGTATATATGAAGTACATATGAAGTCCAAGACTAGAATTAGTCAGTTGGTCAGTGCTTTCTAATTTCTAATAGTACCTCAAGTCAGGTCAATTTTTAACGAATGTTATTTACAAACTAGACGAATCTACGCACAGCCAATCACAAATATATATAATTATTATCTTTTGAAATTCCGATGTGTTTCATTAAAGTCGTTAGTCTATAAAAGAGTACAAAGTGAATTTGAAAACACCTAAGCGCTACAAGAAATTTAAACCTTCTATCTTAAAAAGCTTTCTAGTCTGATAGGATATGTAGTACTCATTGTTCTGTTAAAAGTCAAAAGTTACTTGGATGTTCCATTTACCGACTAATTTAGAAGTAGTCATCATTCGATCAACAGCACTTCTTACGAATATTGTATTTGGAAGCGAACAAGAATGGGAAAATAAAATCTCATTTTTTACATATCTTAAGGGAAAGAAAAAACAGAAAAATTTAAGTAACACAAGTATACAAAAAATCAAGCCACACAGACTAAATGATAAATTACAACAACAACAACAGTCTAACAGTTCACAAAACGAATTGTTTCCAGAATTCAAATAGAAGAGCTAGAACTCTCTCCAGCACCTTCAGTGAATGAAAATTTAATAAAGCCTAAGTCATTCCAGTCATCCGAGACAGTAGCAGCCCACCTATGAGTGGCTAGTAAGTAGTCGCACTATCATAGAATGAGCCTTGTAAATTATGAAATAAATTATCTTTTCATGTATGATAGAATTTCAGTAGTCAGAACTAGAATTTGGAGACACTTTGAAATCAGTGACTCTTACAAGCTTGCGCAATCGGTTTATTACCTCCTATGTAGACTTAGAGCAGCAACAAAGAATAAAGTAAAATTCAACACTATGTACAAAGTCACTTGAATCATTAGTGAAAAACATTATATTGTACAAAAGCGGATACACATTCTACTTACGTAGACTTGAAAACGGATTACAAGTGATAAAATTCGATGATCTACCACTTGTATTTATGTGTAAAGATAACTAAAGGCACAAATTTAACCGATTAAATGTCGAGATTGGGGACCATAAAGATTCCTGTAATCACAGGGAGTTTCTAGATATGCCCAAATCATGTTAGTCTGCAATCAGCTGACGTTTTCATGTATATCCAATTAATCAAGAGGTGCAGAAATGACTAGCCAAACAAATGGTTAGAGATCACCCCGGCAAAACAGTCAACAGTAAGTCATGCAGTCAGAAGAAAAGTCACTAGAAATGACTTACTTAAACCTTACTTCCATCTATGTAGGCGTTGATAATAGTGTCCATATTGACAATGGAAGCTTTGTTATCGAACCAACTAGGTCGTAGAATGCAAAGCTAACGATAACATTTGCTTGAGTTACAGATCATCTGCGTTATTTAGGAGATATATTCATATTATAATACAATAGAAACCAGGGGATCAGCTTTGTCTCCAGGTGGCGGATGATAATTTAAAAATCAACAGACTTGTTGAAAATACCTTATGGCAAACATATACACGGATTTTAAGTAGTTGAAGACTATCGATAACACCTCTAATTGAGCTCCGCTACGTGGTAGTTAAAATTCCTTTTGGTAAATCTGCTATCACTCTCGAGGTACTTGCTATCACAACCAGATCCGGTGTAACCAAGCAGCTGGGAATGCGAGTAACATTTTAATGCTAATTCATTACTTAATTGAAAATAGTATTACGCTCATCCAGTCTTCATATTAATCTCAAGCATAGTATCTACATGTTCTCAATTGTTTCATTACCATGTAATCGTTGAACTATATTCAAGAGCTAATAAAAAATGGAAGGTTATCGCACTTCTAATAACAAAACTTGAGTTATTTTCGGAGAGAATAAAAATCAACATTTTATTGTTTTTTGATTTTCTCTTTGTCTGACAGTTTTTAACCAGTTTAAATATTTCTATGCTAAAAAACGTTTCTAAAAATACGAATATCGAACTTTACCAGTTAGATTTAAATGACAAACTTTTCCCTCAACAACCTTTATTTGATAAAGTCGTACTTAAATTATCTTGGAGGTGTTTCCATGAGACAAATCCAGTTGAAGCACTGAATTTAGTTTCTGTTAAGTTACCGCTTTAAAAACCATCCTCCTAATACTAAACTCTGATACACATTCTTAATATACATAAAATAGAACTTGTTAAAATGTTATAACTCTCTCATGCAACCCCATATCAGTCGACAGTTACATCTGACCCGCTCAAGTTCATAGATATATGATTACATGGAGCGCAACAGAACAAACTTTAATTCCTAAATAAACAATTTTTAAATTGAAGTTATAAATTTTGAAACCATGAATCGATCAATGTTAGACCACCATTAGAAACCTGCAGGTACTGGACTCATCAGAAGTGCGCATCCACGACTCCTACACTCCGCAGGATTAGAACCCAGGACCTTTGATCTTGAGGGCCAACGCATAACCTCTGGACCACTGATCCGATATCTAACAATCTTAATGCCTCACTTGATCAATTCACTGAGTTATAAACACATGACATCTAAGTTGACTTCAGACTGCAACGAATAGTGAAATGTAGTATTTAATCTTAACCACTGAACGATTTGTCAATTCAAGTGATGACTATCTGTATATTAAATTCCAAACCATGCACCAATCAATTATTCCTTACATATGAGTACAGTGAATTCATGAACTCAGTCAAATCATCTACCGATTAAATTTATACATTAAACAGTTAAAGAAGCAGTGTTTAAAAATTAGGAATAAATTTCTGTGGAATAGAACTAAAATTTACATAAATCAATAGGATATATGCGGGTAGAGAGTACAAATTTTATCTTCATTGTATTATTCAAACAAAAATCAATTAAAATAAACATTGACAACCAAATGATTTAAAAGTAATAATAATAATGGTCAATCAGGAAATTTACTTTAGCATACCTCTTTCCCTGAAGTATCAATAGATGTATAATTAACAATAAATACAGGGTTAATCATCTCATTGATTTTCGCACTCCATAAATAGCAGACATAGATAACACTGACAGAAAATAATATCATTAGTAAACATTTTAACGGTGAATTGATTAGTGATGAGAACAACATTTCGAAAATTCTAAAACTAAGCATTAAAAAAAAGAGACAACATTAGGTTGTATTTATTTGAAAAATAATCGATTATACATTATACATATAGATCACATCAAATGCAACACTGAATATATTTTAGTGAAAAATTATTTCTTAGTCATTTTAGTGTTGACAAATTTTGTATTTGTATTTGTATTTATAGGGTTTGTTAAACTTGTTCATCACATCATAATAAGCCGATATACATGTGCTGTTTTACAGATAAAAACTCAAAGAATTTTTATCGCTGTAACAAAGTCCCTTTTCATTTTATGAATCAATTATTGCTTCGTTAGGAATGAGCAAATC